GGGGGGACTCCTAAAGAAACTCCTGCAGCACGAAGAATCCTACTTTCTTCTAGCGAGACTCGTGCTGCTGCTGTTGCTGTTGCTGCTGCTGCTGGTGGTTTGTATCCTCAGGTGCTGCAGCAGCAGAAGCCTCTAGGCACCCGCACTGCTGCGCTGCTCGTGCTGGGGCCCCTCACTCGCTGCTGCAGCAAACTGCTACAGCCTGGAGACGACGATCCCAGCCACATATACAGACAAATCTTGGGGTGTCTCCGCATTGCTGCTGCAGAACGGTAACCACCAGCAGCAGCAGCAGCAGCAGCAGCAGCAGCAGGTGCAAATGCAACAGCAGCAGCAAATGCATGTCGAGCGGCAGCAGCAGCTGTTGTACCGCTGCAGCAGCAGCAATTGCAGCAGCAACAGCAGCTGAATCAGCAGTAGCAGCACCAGCAGTTGCAGCCCAGCAGCAGCAGCAGCAGCAGCAGAAGCAGCAGCAGCAGCAGCAGCAGCAGGATGTTAAACTGGTTGTGTCTTGTGCTGCGTTGCATGCATCTCAGGGAAGGGTGCTGGGCAACAGCAGCAGCAGCAGCAGCAGCAGACATAGTTGCTGCTGCTGCTGACAGCGATTCCTCCGAGTTTGCTGCTGCAGTTGTAGGGGAAGGGTTCGTGCTTGAGGCCCTGCTTCCTGCTGCTGCTGCTGCTGCTGCAGCTGTTAAGGGTGTATACGTGGCGCCTGCTGCTGCTGATGCTGTTGCTGCTGCTGCTGCTGCAGTCACAAAAAGCGCAGCAGCTGCAGCAGTAAATAGTGAGTCTTTCGTCTGGGATTCTTCGTTTGCTGCAGCAGGAAAAAAGCTGAAGCAGCAGCAGCAGCAGCAACTGCAGCTGCTGCTGCTGCTGCTGCTGCTGAGGTGTCTCTCTTTGGTGGTGTTTGCTGCTGCTTGTCTGCGTCTCTCTTGCTGCTGCTGTCTCTCCCCCGCTGCAGCAACTGTCTCCTCTCTCCTTGCTGCCTTCGAGTCCCCTTTTTCTGCAGTGTTCTTAACTCAAGCAACAGCAGCAGCAGCAACAGCAGCAGCAGCAGCAGCGGCAGCAGCAGCAGCATCGTTTGCTGCTGCTGCTGCTGCTGCTGCTGATCTTGCTTCTGCGACTGCAGCACGACTGCTCGTGCACGTGCATCTGCTGCTACTGTTACTACTGCTGCTGCTACTGCTTCTGCTGCTGCTGTTGCTGTTGCTGCTGCTGCTGCTGCTGCTGCTGCAGCAAGCCGTCTCCTCTCGTTCATAGAGAGACACCTCGCCGCCGTCAGCTGTCTCCGCCCTGCTGAGCTTTCTCTCTGTGCTGCATTCTTTCAGCATCCTCAGTGAGGCCATCAACTGCTGCTGCTGCTGCTGCTGCTGCTGCTGNCTGCTGCTGCTGCTGCTGCTGCTGCTGCTGGTGCTGCTGTTGCTGCTCCTGTTAATGCTGTTGCTGCTGCTGCTGCTTCTGTTGTTGCTGGTGCTGCTGTTGTTGGTGCTCCCTTTCTGCTGCTGCTGTAGTCCTTGCTGCTGCTTTGCGTTTCCTGCTGCTCCTGCTGCTGTTGTTGCTGCTGCTGCAGCAAATACACATTGCTGCTGCGGGAACGTCGGTGGATCAACTGCCGTTCCCTGCAGCAGCAGCAGCAGCAGCAGCAGCAGCAGCAGCAGGTGCAGCTGCTTCTCTGTCTCCTTTGCGCAGCACTTCATCTGAGTCGGCTGGGGCGTTGCTCTCTACAATATCATCAGTGCGTCGCTGTCTTTCCTGCTGCTGCTGCTGCAGCAGCAGCAGCAGGAGCAGCAACAGCAGCAACAGCAGATGCTGCAGCTGGTCTTGTAGCTGCTGGAGCAAGAGCAAGAGCAGCAGCAGCGGCTGCTGCTGCTGCTGCTGCAGCAGCAGTAATTGATATTGCAGCAGCTAAAGGAGACAGTGTTGCTGCCCCTTCTGTGCTGCTGCTTCTTGCTGCTCTGCTGCTGCCTGCTGCTGCCTGCTGCTGCAGCTGTGTTTTGTTGTTCTGTTTCTACCTGCTGCTGCTGCAGTTGTTTTTTGTTTTGCTGCTGCTGCCTGTTGCTGCAGCTACACACAAGAAGGGCCCCAGTTGCTGCTGATTTGCTCTGTGATCTGCTGCTGCACTGCTGGAGGGGGCGGGGGGCCCCCCAGCTGCTGCAGCAGACAACGCGGAAGCTGCTGCTGCTGGACCGCGTAGCAGCAGCAGCAGCAGCCGAAGCAGCAGCAGCAGCAGCAGCAGAAGAAGAACCCACACCTACACCAACACCAGCAGCAGCAGCAGCAGCAGCAGCAGCAGCAGCAGCAGCAGCAGCAGAAGAGAGGGTTTGCTTGGCTGCAGCTCTAAGCCACTGCTTGAGGAGACAGCAGCAGGAGACAGAGATCGAGGAGGAGACAAAGGAGACACTTCTTGCTCTCTGCGACGAATGCATGCGGTACCTTTTTATCTAGGGTTCAGGGTTTAGGGTTTAGGGTTTAGATATGAGGGTTTAGGGTTTAGGGTTTAGAGATTAGGGTTTAGTGTTTAGGGTTTAGAGATTAGGGTTTAGGGTTCAGGCAAGAAACGAGGTCCTGTGAAGGAGGGAACGACAGCGTTGGCGACCCTAAACCCTAAACCCAAACCCCTAAACCCTAAACCCTAAACCCTAAACCCTTATTCCTTGATGCTCCTACAGCTATGTAACTTTTGGCTCCTCTACCTTCTTTCTGTCTCCTTTCTGTCTCTCCTTTTCTCTCCTTTTGTCTCTCTCTGTCTCCTTTCTGTCTCCTTTCTGTCTCCTTTGTCTCTCTTTTTTTTCTGTCTCCTTTTGTCTCTTTTTCTCTCTTTTTGTCTCTTTCTGTCTCCTATTGTTTCTTTCTTTCTTTTTTCTGTCTCCTTTTGTTTCTTTCTCTCTCTTTTTGTCTCTTTCTGTCCCCTTTGTCTCTTTCTCTCTCCTTTCTGTCTCCTTTTGTCTCACCACTGTCTCCTCTTTGTCTCCTTTTGTTTTTTATTTTTTATTTTTTATTTTTTATTTTTTATTTTTTTTTATTTTTTATTTTTTTTTTTATACAGAGCTGACCTTACCGAGGCCCTCTCTCGCTTCAACAGCCTAACAGGAGAGGGGGGCCCCCTGGGGCCCCAGCTGTCTCTGTCTGCAGCGGATCGGTTGCTGCAGGAGCTGCTGCAGCACCCCTCAGCAGCAGCAGCAGCAGCAGCAGCAGCAGCAGCAGCAGCAGAAGAGACAGCAGAGCTAGAGGCTAGCAGCAGCGCACACTGGCTTGAGGGGGCTGCTGTCTCCTCCTCTGTCTCTCTCACTTTCTCTGGGCCTAACCACAGCATGTCTTCGATCGAGCAGCAGCAGCAGACAGAGCCACCAGCAGCAGCAGCAGCAACTGCAGCAACAGCAGCAGCAGCAGCAGCTGCTGCTGCTGCTGCAGGGGAAGAACCAGCGACGAGCCAGCATTCACCAGAGGTATCACAGCCCCACACCCCAGCTAGACAAACAAGCAGCAGCAGCAGCAGNCGAGCCAGCATTCACCAGAGGTATCACAGCCCCACACCCCAGCTAGACAAACA